GACCCTGGGCCGTCGCGCAGCAGCACGAGGATCTCCTCGGAGGCCCACGCGTCCCTGCAGCCGCCCGCCGCGCCGCTCGCGGAACCCGACAGCTCCACGCGGCCTCCGCCTGCGGGGCGAGAGTGGGATGGGACCCGGGCCGGACTGTGGGGCGCTGGGCTGGAAGGGGCCCAAACGCAGGAGGTGTAACAGGTGTGACGGGGACAGAGCAGGGAGGCGCGCTCACGGGTCACCAGGGCGGTGTAGCTCCAGCTGGCGCTCACGCGGCAGATGTCCCGGACCGCCTGCAGAGGCTCGGGGCTGAGCACCTGGCACCTGCACCCGGAGCCCGGCTCCTGCCCGAAGCCGCAGAATCCGAAGCCGAACCAGGACCCGGACCGCTCCTCAGCCATGGGTTCGACCCTGGGAGATTCTTGCAGATTCGCCATGGTTGCAGCCGCTGGATCTGCAAAAGTCGGAGATAGCATCGCACACCCAGGGCAGAGCCGGTGCACACACGACTGCCTGCCTCAGCTTTACACGGTTCTGAACTGTCAGGGTACCACGGGCTGGCTTCGCTTGGGGCCTCGGACTAGGATCTGAGGCTCCTCTTCAGCCCTGATTTTACTCCGCGCCATCGTGGGAACCACAGTTGGGCCCCTCTTATGGCAGACACCAGAGCGAGTAACCTGACCAGTCAGAGCCAAGACAGAGGGACAAGAGCCCTGAGCCCAGGTCCCGCTGCCCCACGCGGGCACCGGGCCGTGTGCGCCCCAGTAGCCAACTTGATTCGCCTGCGCCCAACTTGATTTCTTCTGTTTTACAAAGGGGGATGGGAAGGGTGCTGTTGGGCCCTACCCAAAGAATTGTTTGTAAAAAGTGCAAATAATGGCTCCAGCGCTGGCACTATTGGCTCGGTAAGCCCAGTACTTAGAGTTGACAAAAATGAGCATTGTACATCTTAGTGGTGTTCAGAGACCACAATTTGCACAGGCCCTCATGTCACTTAGTCGTCCAACAAGCCTTCACTGAGCCCTCACTCTGGGCTAGCATGGATGCTGTCTGCCCCCAAGGAGCTCACACTTAACGCAGGATAGAACTGACGGTCTGCAGTTTGGGGGCGAGGGGCTGCGGCAGGTTCACCTTGATTAGAAATTTACGCTTTTTAAAAAAAAAAAAAAATCTTTTTGAGCCAGGGTCTCACTATGCATTTCAGGCTGGCCTTGAACTCACTTTGTAGCCCAGGCTGGTCTTAAACTCACAACGATCCTCCAGCCTCAGCCTCCTGAGTGCTGGGATTACAGGCATGCACCACTACGCCCGGCGAAATTTACACTTTCAAGCTTATAAAGTCAGATCTTGAGTTCTCCCGCGACCACAGAGCTCCTGGGCTCCCAGCCCCTTCCATGTCCATTCCCAACAGCAGGAGCTCTAACCTTGATCTTGGTCGCCGCCTAAGTGACCTGCGCCTACCACCCTTCCCGGGAAGTCCTCCAAAAGCTAGAGCGGCACCACCAGCCCAGCACTCTGCGTCAGGAGGACGAGTTTGAAAGGCAGCGGGCCGACCGAAGCGGCCATTGGCTGCAGCCGTCTCCCAGCGACCAATCGCTCGAGAAGGCGGTGACGTCACCCCTTCGGGCCGTGCGTCCGGAGGTTTGTGCTCACCTCCCTGCCGCCGCCTCTTCGGACCCAACTCAGAGGTTCAGACACGATAGCTGCACAGCACAAAAGCAAACCCGTCGGCGAAATGGACCAAATTTCTGGAGGGCTGCGAAGCTCCGATTAGAACCACTACAAACACTCGAGTGAAATTGCTGGTGGACGCGATGCCGCAGATTGGCGGACACAGCCATCCCAGCTTCCGGGTCTCATCTCACTACTGCCCATAAGCAGAACAGGGAGCGGCTGTAGGCGGCACTCCCCTTCCACTGATTGGCTCGAGCCCTGTCATTTACACCTGCGGAGCCAATAAACTTTGTCCTGCGCTTTCAGTTCGGTAAATGGCTCGCGGTAGGTAGGTACGCGCCTTTCCTCTAAGTGACTCAAGTACAGGATGGATTCGTTTATCCACGAATGCCCAGGGCACAACCACCCCAAATCCCAAGTACGGCCTCACCACAGGCCACCGAGAACTTACGACTATAAAGAAAAACGCACCGTGGGCCCAGCACTTAGGAGCATGTACCCTGAAACCATTTATTTCCACAGAACTGCAGTTTGTTCGTTAGCTTCCTGGGCTCACCCCTCGGTCCTCCAACAGTATTAAGAATCAATTCAGTGGGTCCTAGGGCGGGGAATCCCGTTGGAGCCCTCTTTCGAGGTCATCACCTATCCACCCCCTACCCATCTCCTGTCCCTCTGCAGCCTTCTCTGCCCAGTGACCCGGCACACATCTGAGTCCCACACACTTTTATTATAGCACGCATGCCTGCAGCAGGCTTGGTGACGGATGCTTACAGGTGCTGAGGCTTCGGGACACGTTTCCCGAGGCCCATAATCCACAGGCAGGGCAGGGCTGCACCTTCCCCACTTCCCAGCTCTGCGGAGTACAGAGAAAAACAGTGCCCTCTGAGTGAGCTGGAGGCAGTGCTGGCTGAGCACGGCGGTGTGGCGGCGTGGCTGAACGTGGACTGAAGCTGGGAGCATAGGACACCAGAGCCAGCTTGCGGGGGGGCACTGTACTCAGCCCAGGAGCTATGCTCGGCCAGAGCTGCTGTCCTCAGTGCTGCCATAGCGAGCATATGCCTGAGCCTCGGGGCGGGCAGCCCCTCACTCTCCACTCTCGCTGGGCTGAATGAGCCCGTATTCCACTGCTTTCACCAGGCAGGCGGCAGCAGCCCTGGCTACAGGGCCCTCCTCGCCCTTAGCCAGCACCAACAGGATCTCCAGCACCTCGCTCTCCATCAGGGTGCTGGTGACCTCCCTCGAGGCCTCCACCATATTCAACACCACCACAGCACCCCGGTGCTGCAGCTCCTGGTTGGGGCTCAGAAGCAGGGCTTGCAGGATCTCCAGCCAGTGTGTGGTCTGCGAGAAACGGGACAGGTGTGACTAACACTGCCACCTCGGTACTGGTGAACACATCCATTCTCTAGGACATGCACCCCCAGGGGCGGGGATTCAGGGCACCCAGGCACTGACCACTTGGGGAATGCGGCTGCACACAGAGGGCCGTGCGGAGGTGAGCATGGCCAGGCCCCCGGCAGCTGCCCGCCGTAGCAGCTCGTCGTCCTCTCCGCTGTACAGCACCAGCAGCTTCAGCCGGTCACTACCCTGTGCTTCAAAGAGGTCCTGTACCTGTGGCCCAGTGGGGAAGAGAACAAGTGTCAGCAGGACATGAAGCCAAGGCCGAGCACAGCACCCTGTGCACCGCTACCCATCACAAGCTCCGGGTCGGCCGCACCTCCTTGCTCATGGCCAGGTTACACATACACTCCGTGGCCGCCCGCCGGAGCATCTCGTGCTCCTCGAACATGTAGCCCTCGATCATGGGCACAGCCTTCTCCTTCAGGATCTTCTGTCTGCGGACAGAGGCGGACGTGTCAGCACCTTCAGAGCTTCCGGCTCCACGGCCCCACAGAGCCGAGCCCTCGGCAATGCCCAAGATCCTTCTACACCAGAAAGGAGCTGCACCGCTCTCATCTCCTGACCAGATCTGTGCAAAATGCTCACAACTAGGAGATGGGGGACAGGGATGGTGGCAGGAACATCTGAATGCTCGCCCTGACCAGTCCATGCAATGTCTTACTTAATCCTCACACAACCCCGCTGTGAAGGCGCAGTGATGATTATCTTACTAGCTTGCAGGAGGACAAAGAAGCTGGGGAGTGAGCCATGTGCCCAAGTCCTGGCTGGGCCACTGCTAGGGCCCAGGCACTTGTACATGAAACACTTTTATGTGCATTTTTTCACTTAACGGTCCTCGCCACTGCTCCATGAGCTAGGTATCATAATCATCTCAACCACAGAGGGAGAAACTGTGGCAGAAGAGTTCAATAATCTGAGGTTACACATTGGTACCTAGTGAAGCCAGAATCTGAAGTGAGGTGGTGTCCCCTTGGCCTCACATGCACAATGCAGGAGTCACTGTGAGGCTCAGAAAAGCCAAGGACCAGCTGGGTGTTGTGGCACACACCTGTAATCCCAGCACTCTAAGAGGCTGAGGTAGGAGGATCCTAAGTTTGATCCCAGCCTATGTTAAGTCAGTGACTTAAGACAGTTTAGTAATAAAAAAATAAAAAAAGTCAATTCCTGTCAATTCGCCTGTCAATTCCCAGTAACACACTCAAGCATGCACATGTGCACACCAACAAGGGAGTATTTTTCAGCTGTAGACACTATCAGGGATGATCCCAATCCCAGTGCCTGGTCAGGCCCTCACCGGAGCCTCTCGCTGATCCCGGCCAGGTTTGTTAGGGCCATGAGTGCCTCAAAGTTCTGCAGGCCTGAGCAGTCGAGGTGCAGCAGGGAGACAAGGGGCCGGACCACCTCATAGATCTGCGAACCAAAGGCCACCGTCAGAGCCACTTGCCGTAGCCCCTATAAACCCAGCCACCGCAGAGGCAAGAATGTACCCTGACAGCGGCTATCTGAGGCTGTCCCTCCCTACCCAGGCTCGGCAAGCCAGTATTTCTTGTTAGTCCTCAGGGAGGCCTCAACAGCAGCCATCAGTGCCCAGGGGAGGGAGTGAAGGAGAGGTCAGGCCCAGAGCACGCACCCGCTCACCAGGAAAGGTCATCTCCGGGTTGGAGGTGATGGTAAGCTTGGCGAGGGCCTGGGCGGCCTTGGTCTGCCCCACGTCAGTGCCTTCTAGGGCTAACGGGATCAGTGCCTGGAGGAACAAGCCCATCAGTGCCACAACAGACCCAGGACCCTGAGCCCTGGCTGTTCACTAACAGTGTCTTCCTGTGCCCTGCCAAGCCCAACCTCTTCCACAACCGTCAGTGGCTCCCAGGTCCCAGGCTGGAGATTCAGTCTCGCTTACCTTGCCCCCACCCTGAGCCACCACCACGCCTCGGTCCTCCACCTCCTCCACTAGAGCCAGGAAGACCCTGCGGGGATAGAGCAAGCAGCCAGTGGTGGCCTACAGCACGGGCTCTGCCTGGCAGGAGCTGGGGGTGCAGCCCCCAGGCAGCTCACCTGGAGAGCAGCTCTCGGCAGGAATTGGTCAGCACGGGGCTCTCGGTCTTCACCATGCACGTCATGGCTGACACCACACCAGCCGCCAGCAGCTTCTTCACCCTCGCTCTTACGAAGCTAGGCTTGTCCTAATGAGGGAGGCAGCTCAGGTGCCCTTGTCTCACCGGACTGGGAGAGCGGACCCTTCCCTCCGAGAACACCGATATTCATCAGTGGGAAATGGCTAGCTTCCAGGCAGACACCCTGGGCCAAAGGTCTCAAGGAGAGGGAGACTTGCCTTCCAGTGGCCCTTACCTTGGGGTGCTGCTCGGGCACATGCTGTTTGGCATACTTGGCCAGCTCCACCATCTTGGGGTCAGGCTCCTCGTAGTCATAGCTGTTGGTGCAGTTGACCAGGGCTGAGGTCACTGCGAAGAGCACAGACCTCTCCTCAGACTGCCGGGACAAAGCGGCATTCAGCAGGCCAGGCGGGGCACAGGAAGGCCACACCCCTGCACCTCCCCAGGCCCTGGACTCAGAGAACCCCAGTCTCCTCCCCAGTCCCTCCAGAGGGGTCACCCTTCCTGACACTGCTGGTGTCCACACCCACAGAGTAGCCGCCCTTCCTCCGGGGACAGGGGCCCCAGGATGACAGCGGAAACCCCAGAGCTACCCTGCTGAGCTGGAAGAGCGCCTTTAGAGCGGCCCCATCCTCCACGAACTCTTCCTTCACGTCGGCGTCGAAGGTGAGGTAAGCCAGGCCCTCCACGGCCCAGCGCCGCGTGCCTGCATCGATCTGCTCATTGCAGAGCCACCTGGGGACACGCAGGGCAGGGGACAGGGTCAGACCCAGGGAGCACGAGGAAAGCAAGCACAAAAAGGGGACTCTAGGGCCTGAGCACCCCTCAGCATGGTGGAAGCAGGTCACATGCCAGGATTCTGGGAGTCTGCCTGGGGTGGGGGCAGTGGGAACGGCCCGCCAAGACCTGCTCTCTTGAGCAGTCAGACAAGTGTGGGGCCACGGCAGTGCCACAAAACTC